AAAAAAAAAAAAAAAAAAAAAAAAAAAATTAAACTCTTCTAGTAACTAAATTCGACAAAATTCTAGACTTATATCGTATTTAGGTTCATTTCTATGGTAAGTCTCGGGTTGACTCATACTGGTTGGATTTAGATATGCTCTTGCCATAGGCGACTTTGAGGATGTCGTCGAGGCAGATATGCTCTTCTTCTTAGAAAGATCATTTTTTTTTTGGATTAGAGAGCACGAAAGCATGTGCCATGAAATTATTATTAAAAAATTAAATAAAATATCTCTTCCTTAAATTGATTTAGCTTTGGAAGGATTAGATAGGAATGGTTTCATTATAAAGAGATCTCTTTTCTTTTGAATCTCTCACTTTTTTCCTCTCTAAACATGGAAGCTCTTCCTTTCTTTGTTGGAGTGATAGGTAAAAGAAATTAATTTTCTTCATAATTAATTCTTTTTTTCTTCTCCTTTTATATATTATAAATTTCACTTGTTTTTTTTTTCTTTTTCAGGAAACATCATCTCTGTGTTGTTCTTCCTTTCTCCCGTGTAAGTTCTCGACAAAATTTCGCCCCGTTCAATAATCGAGTTTGAAGCTAAAACAATTTTCTCTCTCGAGCGGGTTTTTAAGATTGTTTTTAAATTTGGCTGAAAAAACAAAAGAAAAAAAGTTCCCGTTTAGATTTAGTTGCTTCTGAAGAACGTTACCCCAAAACGAGTTAGTAACTAGTTGAGCTATGCTTGGCTCAAGTTAGCAGACGGGACCGGACCGGACGTAAAAGAAAAAATGATTACTTATTGAATGGTCTTTTTTTTGCAGGAAAACATTTTGGTTAGTGTTGAAGAAAAGATCAACGGAAGAATTTGACAGTCTTCCTTATGTTTCGACTTTCCTCACAGCTGCTTTGTGGGCTTACTATGGCCTAATCAAACCTGATGGCTTTCTCATTGTCTCTGTCAATATCTTTGGAATTTCCCTTCAAATTTGCTACCTCACCATTTTCCTTCTATTTTCACCTCCAAACATGAGGGTATGTTCTTCCTGTCAAGCCAAGCCGTCGTTACGTGTTTTTTACGTCACTTTATGGTTTCAATTTGATTTTCAACGTCGTTGACTTTTTATCGATATATTAGTATATTTCGATCTCTAAGATCCTATTTGATAACCATTTTATTTTAAGGTATCTAACTCTTAGGTTTTTCATCGTAATTAAAAAAATATTTAAAATTTAAGTTTGCTCTTCAAAATTTAGGTTGGTTTTCGAAACGGAGTTTATCAAGTTTATAGGGAAAAAATGATTACAAAACCGGCGAAAAAGATAGTATATTGAAGTTGTAATGATTTGTTAATGTTGTCGTTCTTGTTTGTTATTAACTATGTTTGTGTATTTGTAGGTTAGAACAGCAACTCTAGTAGCAATTTTTGACATTGGATTCGTGGGTGCAACAATCTTGATATCGTATTTGATGTTACATGGAACTTCTCGAATTGAGGTCATTGGATTCATTTGTGCTGCTCTCAACATTATGAACTGTGGTTCGCCTCTTGGAATAGCGGTTAGTAAAACCCTTTTTATTATATTTAAGATCACTTCGAAACATACTCTTAGTCATTTAAAACCAATTTTCTTAGTAAGAAATCACGTGTTTTCAAAATATGTCCGGGTTTTCAATACGACCGTCTTCTAACTCGTTTGAAGCTCATACAATATTATTATGATGCAGAGGAAAGTGGTGAGAACTAGAAGTGTGGAGTATATGCCATTTCTTCTCACTTTGTGCATATTTTTGAACTCTGGGGTCTGGACTTTCTATGCTGTGCTTGTCAAAGATCCCTACATTGGAGTAAGTTTTCACTCTCTCTCTCTCTTCATACTTTCATGCATTTTTTTGGACTTTATGGTCTTAAACATCGAGTATCGACCTCGGGAGAAATGTTGAGGTTCTGATTCGTGATGTCCCACATTAGTTGGGGAGGAGAACAAAACATCCTTTATAAGGGTGTGGAAACCTTCTCCTAGCAGACGCGTTTTAAAGCCTTGAGGGGAAGCCCGAAAGGGAAAGCCCAAAGAGGACAATATCTGCCAGCGGTGGACCTGGGCCGTTACAAAGAGTGTTTCGTTCTCCTCCCCAACCCATGTGAGACTCAAGCAATGGAGGGGAAGCTCAAAAAGGAAAACTAAAAGAGGACAATATTTGCTAGCTGTGGACCTGGGCCGTTACAAATGGTATTAGAGCCAAACACCGGACATTGTGCCTGCAAGGAGGTTGTCCCCTGAAGGGGGTTAGACACGAGGCGGTGTGCCAGTAAGGATGCTGGGCCCCGAAGGGGGTGGATTTGGTGGGGGTCCCATATCGATTGGAGAAAGGAACTAGTGCCAGCAAGGACACTAGGCCCCGAAAGGAGGTGGATTGTGAGAGTCCAACATTGGTTGGGGAGGAGAACGAAATACCCTTTATAAGGGTGTGGAAACCTTTCCGTAGAAGACGCGTTTTAAAGCCTTGAAGGGAAGCCTGAAAGGGAAAGCCCAGAGAAAGTCTAAAGAGGGCAATAGCTGCTAGCGGTGGGTTTGGGTTTGGGCCGTACACAATTTCACGAAATGTCAATAAAAGTATGGTCTTGCTCGGTATTATATTTGCTTTAGTTTCTATTTGCGTGTTCCAGTGTTTGAACTCGAGCTTTTTTAGGGCATTTTTGTAGCCGAACTTGGATTAAACGTCATATTGGTTACTTTACTAATAACCTTTTAGTTTTTTTAGATGAATATATTCAATTTTCAGTACCGTTTAATTCAATGAAATTGAAATCTCATTGATTTGATATGTTGTTGATCTATTGTGTAGGTACCCAATTTGATTGGATTCCTTCTTGGAGTCATGCAATTGGTAATCTACGTCATTTACATGAACGAGTCTAAATCATCCAAAGAAGATCATTCATCGATACATGATCAACTTCTTCCATCACATTCCGATAAAACATGTGATCTCTTATTGAGTCATTCAGAGTCCAACTCGAGCAAGATAGTTCTAAAAATTACAACATGATTCACGCCAATGTAACTCTTCTCCACATATTAAACGACGAATTCTTAAATTTTAATGGGTCAATGGATACGTCTATCAAGGCATGAATCCAAATTTCTCAATTTTAATTTTTTTTCTAACAATGTAACTCTTCAATGCATCAAATTCCTCGAGTTGGATCTCCCATAGCTAAGATGAACTCATTCGTAATAGTAGATTTACCATTATTTGAGGAGTACCCTTCCTCATTCTCTGTGAATGATGTTCTTAATCGAAGTTCTCTCCAACCATGACTCGATTTGGACCCATAGCTTTCTTGTTCATCTCTATTTCAGTAGAATCCTCTTGTTTTCCACATACGATGCAAGCGGTTGCTTGTGGTGTGTCCTACGCACTCCGATTCTTAGAGAAAAGAAGTGTAGCAAGCTAAAAGTTTGATAACGAGGTATATTTGTTAGATTGGCTTAGAGTTTCATCTCCCTTTTTCCAATAGGATTAGGTCAATGTTGAATTGGGCTTGATCGTGAATCATTAGACCCTGTGTAACACCCCAAGCTCACTTCTAGCAGATATTGTCCGCTTTGGCCCGTTGCGTATCACTGTTAGCCTCATAGTTTTAAAACGCGTCTACAAGGGAAGAAGTTTCTACACTCTTATAAGGAATGTTTCGTTTCACTCTCCAACGATGTGAGATCTCACAAACTACCCCCCTTGGGGGCCCAACGTCCTCACTGGCACATCGCCCAGTGTCTGGCTCTGATGTCATTTGTAACAACTCAAGCCCACCGTTAGTAGATATTGTCTGCTTTGGCCCTTTACGTATCGCCATCAGCTTCACGGTTTTAGAACGCGTCTACTAGGGAGAGGTTTCCCCACCCTTTGTTCCCCTCTCAAACCGATGTAGGATCTCACACTCTGGACATGTAAGGGCACGCCACATGGGCTCAGACCGACTCGGGCTAAGCTAGACTTATGGACTTTTGGCCCTTTTGCTTCATCATCTGAGCTCAATTTCATCTCGAATTTAGATTGATTCATATTCAACCTTAGTTGCTTTCTATTTCTTTAAATTTGATCCGATTATCAAAATTTACGTGTTGCACTTATTATCGTTCATTTTGAAAAATGTTAAGAGTGGTTGATATGACCATTATGGTTGAGAATGCAACCTCTATGTGACCACCGAGTTGGCAACATGTTACTTATGGCCCCAAATGCGACGTCGTACCAAACTCTTTTGCACCAATGAGATCTTTGTATCATAGTCCAACCCTACTTTGATTTAATATTTATAACTGATGTTAATGAACCATTATGACTCATAAATGTTTAATATTTTAAACTTTATGAGATTTTAGTTATTAATTTAATAGATAAGTATAATCTTTTTAAATAATTAAAAAAACAACCTAACAACTAGGGGCGTACATGGTCGGGTTTAGGTTGGGTTAAGGGATATTTTTGACTCACCAAGTTCAGGTTGGTTGAATTGGTAACTCAACCCGAAAATTTTCACAACCCAACCCCCTGACATTGAACTCGGGTGTGGGTATCCTTATAGAGGCTAAGGTACCATTCTAGCAAACTTATTAATACGGAAGGATTCTTAATACAATTTATATATTTTTATTTTGCTCGGATCAACTCGAAGGTTTTATCCACGAACCCGAAACCAAACCAATTCAGTTCGAGTTTAGAAAAATGAACCCAACCCTACCCGAAATGCTAATCCAACCCAACCCAACCCAACCCAACTCAACCCAACCCTTATAGTTCGGGTTGGGTTGGTTCGGGTTGTCAAGTTGAATGTACACCTCTACTAACAACACAAATCAATCCAATCTGAAAAAATAGTGATTTGGTTGGATTGAGTTGTGAATTCTATTAAGGTTAGTTCGGTCACCAACCTAATGGATCCAAATTTTTTAGGTTGGTCTAAATTATTTTTCCAACTCAATCCAACCGAATCTGTGTACAACCCCATCAAGCCTCCATATGTGCCCCTAAGTTATTCTCATGATACATACATATATATATATATATACATATATATACATACAATATATATATATATATATGAAATTTTGTGTAAAATGTCCATTACAATTGATTATGATCACTTGATTCTTCATCAGTTTGAATGTTTCCAAAAGAGAGGATTAATTAGGGATTCAGATAAGCACGAAGTTATGAACATCATCAATCACTTGTTTTGATTGTAATAATGGAAGAAATCCAATTCAGAAGTAGACGCATCATCCATGGCCAAATTCCAAATCTCCTAGGTGCGCCATTTCGCTATCTTGCGCGGTCAGCTCTCGCTTGAAGATTTCAACAAAAATGCAAAACGATATCGACAAATTCCTTCTCCTTCATTATCGATCCATTTTCAGTGCTTGCCGCTCTCGAATTTGTCTGTAAGAACTCTCTCTCTCTCTCTCTCTCTATCTGTCGCTGAGATTTAGTGAATCGGAATCTTTTCGTATATTTGTTGCTCGGCTTCTCTGTGTTGACTCATTTTCTTCTTCTTCTTCTTCTTGTTTGTGTTGTTTGGATTCGTGAATCGGAAGCTTTTCGACTTCGATTTGATTTTGTGGTTCTTTAGAAGAGTTGGTTGTTTACTTTTCTTCGATTTGGAAGATTTTCTTCAACTTGAAACAAGCCGATACTGATTTTTCGCTGTTTTGAAGATCCGTTCGTTGTTTAAACGGGCGAAATTGAGGAATTAGGGCAAGTTCTAGGGCAGAGAAGTTTGTATTTCTGGTGTGAATCTTGGAGGAAACTGTGCGGAAGGATGATGATGACAATGGAAGGGATGGAGAAGGGAGTTTTGGATGATATAATTAGAAGGCTGTTGGAAGGGAGAGGAGGCAAACAGGTTCAGCTTTCAGAGGCTGAAATCCGGCATCTGTGTGTGAACGCCAGGCAAATTTTCCTCTCTCAACCAAATCTTCTTCGCTTGAAAGCTCCTATGCGCATCTGTGGTCAGTCTTCTTTCTCTCCCTTTCTTCCTTCTGTTTCTTTCTTTCATTTCTGAATTCTATTGTTTTCTTATGCTGTTTTGGACACTCCTTTGGTGGATTGTAGCTTTGGTTGTTGTTTGGTTTGATGTTTTTACGATTAGCTCTTGGTCGTGGATACATGTTTTAACTAGTTAAACTATGCTCAGTTTAGAATTTGGTTCGAAGATTTGATAACAAACTCAAAGCATGAGTTTGTGTAACGGGGAGTTGGGAAATCTGGAATAGCTTGAAGTTTGTGAATTAGGACTTATGTTGTAGCGTCTGTACCGAAAATGCGACTCGGGCATATTAGGTTCGGACGCCTAGCATGAAGCAGCCTCCTCTTATGGTGGCAAGTAAGTTTTTTAAACTTGCAGAATTGGGTAGCTCCAATAGACCCATAGATCATGGAACGAATAGGGTGGGTAGACCCAAACACCACACTACACGTATAGACGGGAAACCCCTCGTTGGTGTTTAGTTTGTGGGTTTTAAAGGTTTTGGTGTTTGGAGTTGGTAGAATTGATAAACTTGTAGTTTGGATAAACAAACGTAAATTTTACAAGTCAATGAAGTTGGTAGGATTGATCTTTGTTTGGTTTGTGAGCTAATGTATTGTTCATTGTGTGGCTTGCAAAAGCTATGGAGTTTGTAGGATTAGCAAATGTGTAGTTTGGACGAGTAAATACACGTGTAGGCTCGATTTTGTATTCTAAGCTGTATAAACTTAATCTGCGAGATATCTTTTCATTTCTTCAGTGAAAAGTTTTGTTTCTCGTTCTTAAAAGCCTCTAATCGGCAAGATGAACATTAAACACTCAGGTTATTTGTCTTGATGAATCAAGCTTTCGTGCGTGCCGATGAACCCTAAACATTCCCTTAGGTTATTTGTCTGTGTAAATCTTGATGAATCAAGCTTTCGTGTGTGTCGATGAACACTAAACACTCCCTTCGGTTATTTGTCTATGTAAATCTTGATGAATCAAGCTTTCGTGCGTGCCAATGAACACTAAACACTCCCTTAGGTTATTTGTCTGTGTAAATCTTGATGAATCAAGCTTTCGTGCATCCCAAATGCTCGACTCTTGATGCAATTTTTGCCTTTTTCGTTTCGATTCTTTTGAATTATAACCTCGTTTCAATCCGGGCTCTGCTGGCTTATTACAGGTGATGTTCATGGTCAATACAAAGATCTTCTTAGATTATTCGAGTATGGTGGGTACCCTCCTTCTGCTAATTATCTATTTCTCGGCGATTATGTCGACCGAGGGAAGCAAAGTTTGGAAACGATATGTTTACTTTTGGCGTACAAAATACGACATCCAAATAAAGTATTTCTCTTGAGGGGGAACCACGAAGATGCGAAGATCAACCGAATCTATGGTTTCTACGACGAATGTAAAAGGAGGTTTAACGTTAGGCTATGGAAAATATTTACTGATTGTTTCAACTGCATGCCTGTGGCTGGACTTATTGATGACAAGATCCTTTGTATGCATGGAGGAATATCTCCAGATTTGAAAAGTTTGGATCAGATTACGCAACTTCCGAGGCCTACCGAGATTCCCGACAACGGTCTTCTCTGTGATCTGCTTTGGTCTGATCCTGATCCTAGTATTCAGGGATGGGCAGACAGCGATCGAGGCATTTCATGTACTTTCGGAGCAGATCGAGTGGTTGAATTCTTAGAAAAGAATGACCTTGATCTCATTTGTCGCGGTCATCAGGTAAACAAGCTTGTTCGTTAACTCTATATCAAATGTTGTCTTTTGTGTTTCGAAGCGTTCTTGTTGTAGTTTACAGAGACTGCACGTTGACGAGGAGTATAAACTGCAAACATTTCGATCTTTTGCTTCGTAATCACTGTTACGAAAACCAGTTTCTTGATCAAACAACTAGGATAAGTAGAGGATGGATATGAATTGTCCTAGATGTTTAGAATTTTGAGTTCTGTTCATTCTATTACACAGGTGGTGGAGGATGGATATGAATTCTTTGCCAAAAGAAGATTGGTCACAATATTCTCGGCTCCAAACTACGGCGGAGAGTTCGACAACGCAGGTGCTCTATTAAGCGTCGATGAATCTCTAGTTTGTTCTTTCGAGATATTGAAACCCGAGCTAAAACCCTCAGGAAGTAGTTCAGGTGTAATTCTTAAAAAGGTATGATCCAAACATCTTCCTCTTAACATATATCACTTTCGATTTCGACTTAACATTGCCTCTTATCTTTTCTCGAGCAGCCTCCCAAAATTGGAAGAGCTTAATTACTCAAGAGGAACTCCTTTTCGATCCTAGGAAGACGAAAGACCAAGCTCGAGTTGTTCATAGTTTTCAAGCTTGTAATGACCATCATGCCGGAGTTCGGTCGATCGAAGGTGTAAAAATCGAGTATGTCTATGTCCCGGTATCCAAACAGGTAGTAGATTTAGAAGTTGTGTGTGTAAAGAGAGATGCTTCTTCCATGATGATTATAAGGGATTGAATTTCTTTTCTTCAATCCTTTTGATTGTTCTTTCTTTTCTTTTTAAATTCACTAACAAAAGCATAATTCTTTGAACAAACCCTAATAATATTCCAAATAACAAGAAGGGGAAAGAAAGAACACAATCAAATAAATATGAATTGACTTTTTTTTTAAACTTAAAGAACTTACCAAGTCAATGAAGCTCTGCTTCAACAGTTACACAGCAACCAACTGTGTTATGGTCACCAAAATTCTTGTATGAGTAATGAACAATCCATAGAATTTTATCACAATTTCCAATCCTTTCTATATCATTGTACAACTAGATAACTCACTTTTCTTTTATCTTTTTCTCCTTCATTTTAATGGAAGGGCTACCATGGCTGCTACTTTCCGAATTTTTCGAGTATCGGGACTTGTGGAAATCAGAGTCGAGTTTTCAGCCACATGATGAACCTAAATGAATATAAGCGAGAGAGGAAGAATACAATGAAGTGACGAGCAAACGAGCAACCTAAATGAATATAAGCGAGAGAAGAAGAATACAGTGAAGCAAACGAGCAACCTAAATGATGAAGCAACGAGCAAATGAGCAACCTAAATGAATATAAACGAAAGAAAAAGAATACAATGAAGCAACGAGCAAACGAGCATTATAAGTTAATAGAAAAGAGATATGGTTTTTACCTCGCAAAATAGGCTAACAAAATTTCTTTAGATGTGAGGTGACAGTCATCTTCTACTTCTTTTCCTGATTCCTTGAGTGCCAAGAGAATTCAGACTCACATTTGCTTCCATTTTCTTCGTTGCTCGTCGAATAGCATCGTATTTCTGGCGCTGGATATGACTTTTCCTTTTGCTGCATTATAGACATTATAAGAATAGAACACATGAAAATAAACAACTAGAACATTTTGAGTCTAAAACTCCTTTCCCCCTTTCCTGCCAACATCAAACACTAATAAGTAACATAGTTTCAATATTTAAGTCGATCAAGTAATTATTTGAACTAAGAACACGAGCCCTTGCTAACTACATTTCGAGTTTTACCTGTCGCGTTAGCGGACCCATCTTATTGAAGCTAATACCTAAAGCCTAGCGCCATTGACAAACTTGAAGAAATGAAGAAGGACCAAAATTTAGTGCAAGCCAGGGAAAATAAAAGACCAAGTAATGAAAATGGTTAGCTTCCTCAACCTTACAAGGAGAAGCCCAGCTGAAAGCACCATGGAACTGATCAGCCAAGAAACCTGTTCACGTAAACTCATTTCTTTCACCCATTGCTGGAAGTCCTCTAAAACACCCAAGTGCCCTGTTCTTTGAGAAACCACTACAGATGGTGAAGACTTCCACGAATTAGCAACGGAGTTTAGTCTGGCTTTACTACCATAGCAAGAGCTTTCGTCGTTCGGAATCTTAACTGAAAAACCTGCAGCACTGCAAAGCTGCGTCCCATTCGAAACCCATTCAGAAGCCCTGCCACACACAAAGTCATTCACTCCGCACGGTGCTAGAACCTGAACCATAAAATCTAATCAGGAAGTATATTTAGTCTTACATTGTGGGCAAGGTTCGAGTTCGTGCTTTTACTTCTCATTACGTTGGTTAAGAGAACATCGTGCATGTAGAAAGATGGAAATAACAAACCAACAAAATTAAACAAAGTTCCAACGATTTTATAGTATGAAAATAACTATAAAAGTTACGTTAAATTATAAATTTAGTCCTCAACGTAACATGCCCATTTGATAAACTTCACCTGAGCTGGAATGATGTGCTAGACAACTGAACACAACGATGGTATAATCTAAATAGAAGCATTAATGTATAGTTTAAGGACTAATTACAGACTAAATTTATAACTAAACTAAAGTTTTACCAGCAATTAGATGTCATTTTCTTTTTCCTTCTAAAATGAGTGCCATGACCTATGTGCCTCTAAGACAATCAACTTTTGGAAACCTCATATGTACCTCTATGACTATCAGTTTTTTGAAACCTTATATGGTTAACCAAAGAACATCTAGGTCTGGGAGACCCCACATCGATTGGAGAAAGGAACGAATTCCAACGAGGACGCTGGCCCCCAAAGGGGTGGATTGTGAAATCCCACGTCGGTTGGAGAGGGGAACGAAATATTCTTTTTAAGAATGTGGAACCTCTCCCTAGCATACGTGTTTTAAGACCTTGAGGGGAAGTCTAGAAGGAAAAACCCAAAGATGACAATATCTGTCGTCTGCTCACCTGTGTTTTAGCATCAACAGAAAAGTAAGCATCAGAGCAAGCGTTGAAGACTCTGTCGCAGAAAGAGGGACATATCAGAGGAGGTCCGGGTTGAATGCCAACTAGTGGATCACAAATCGAGCACTCCAGAAGTTCCCACAATTGCAAGCATTCTTGGTTGCCTTCCCCTGTTGAAGCCAGCCTCCTAACAGAAAGCAAAGCTGGGTACGTTTGAGCTACACCACAGCAAGTCTTCTTTCTGAAGACTCGACAAAGCGTCAAATCTTGTGCTTTGCTAACCTTTTTTGGAGGTTTTCCTTCCATTGCGAAGGGTGTGAAACGACCACCTTTTGAAACGCAGACATCATTTGATTCTCCTACAAGAAAAACACAGTTTTGTAAAACGAAGCTTAATTTGCATCATAAAACTCAAGAAATAAAGAAGAGGTAAAATGGTCTTCCTCTCAATATCCATACTATGACTAGTAGAAAAAGAAAAATACGGCATAGCCATTTCTGCCTTCCATGTAAAACAATCACAAATAAGCAAGGAACTAATTCAATATGATGATGAATCTAGTGATCCAAATTGGATATGAGACAGATATATAACTGAAGTTGATCCAAACTTGAACAACCTACAGATTGATAAGAAACTAATTCAATATGATGTTGAATCTAGTGATCACAATAATCTTTTGTGTTAGAAAAAATAAATCCTTTGCTCAGTGAGTAATACTTTGATAAGAAACAAAAGACTAGATAAATTGAAAGACACATCATCAAATTTCTCAAGTAGAAAATTAAAATCGGAAGGATCAAAACACTAATAATTTTCCAAATATCCAAACAATCTCGTAAGATTATATCCCAATTCGCAGAACCAAACCGCAGCTGCAATTTCCGGGAAATCAGGCACAATAATGACAATTACACTCAAATATATTTCAATTCAACACAATCATGAACCATTTTTAATAAATCTAACATGAACACAAGCCTCATATGGAAACTACGTTGCAGAACAATCAAATAAAGAAATCGAGGAAGAAAGCAGATCAAGAAATGAAGTTTACCAGATGAAAAAGGAAGCAGCAGATTGAAATTTAGCATCATGAATAAGTACCAAATGTTCATATTCTTCGTCCTTTGCGCCATTTTCTGGACTCGTTCGAATCAAATTACAGTTCGCAGAAACTAAGAAAGAAGACGATACTCATAATTGCAGAGAGGCGGACTTGTTGGTGCTGATGGATACTCCGAAGACGAGAGTCCTGTCGATTGGGCCCAGGCCCAGGCCCAAATCTAATTAGGAAAATATTTTTTTAATTTATTATATCGTAAAAAAAACGTCATTATAATACGTATTTAATTAATAAAAATGCCTTTTAAAATAACCCTAATTTTTCAAAAATTTCAATAATACCTTTAAACTTAAAAAAAATAAAAATATATATAATTTTTAAACTACAAATTTACATTAATATCCTTCCAATTTTTTAAAAAGTTTAAAAATATTCTTTCTTGTAGGGGCACTAGTGTTATTTTTTAAAATTCATGGATATTTTTATTTTATACTTTATGTTTATTTGTATTTTCTATTTATTTTTATTTTATTTTTTAAATATATGGTTTTAATTATTACACAATAATTTATATACATCATTAATTAGCAACAAAAATACAAAAGATTTTTAAATTTAGGACATTTATGAATATATTTTTATTTATCTATTTTCAATATTTAAATAAAATATATAAATATCAAAATTTAAGCATAGGGGCACGAGTCTTTTTACATTGCCTTTCTTAATCAATATAATTTTTAATAATTTAGATGTTGATATATTTTTGTAATTATTTATCTTTGAAATTATGCTTATTTAAATGTCCCTCAATAATTTAAATGTTTTAAATAAATTCAAATATAATATGGTTACATATATAAATAATTAAATAAAAATATATTCTAATTCGCTATTAAATTTAGTAGAAGGATAAAAAAAATTATAAAAAATATTAAATTACAAAATTAGTTATTATAAAAAATATCCATTAAATTTGGATAGATTGGTCTGAACCAACCTTCAAATTCAAAAGTATACAAAATATATTTTATTAACCTAAATGGGAGTGAACAAACCTGAGATCAAAATATATTTTATTAACGAAGTGAACAGCTCGAGCAAAGATATTGAAATATATTTTATTAACCTAAATGGAACAAGATACTAAGCGACTAAATGAAAATGAATAGTCTCGATGTAACAGCCCAAACCCATTGCTAGCAGATATTGTCCTCTTTGGGCTTTCATTTTCGAGCTTCCCCTCAAGGCTTTAAAACGTGTTTGCTAGGGAAAGGTTTTCACACCCTTATAAACGGTGTTACGTTCTCCTCCCCAATCAATGTGAGATTCTCGCAATCCACCCCTCTTCAGGGCTCAGTATCCTTACTGGCACTTGTTCCTTTCTCCAATCGATGTGGTACCACCACCAAATCCACCCCCCTTCGGGGTCCAATGTCCTATTGGTACACCATCTCGTGTCTACCCCCTTCGGGGAACAGCCTCTTTGCTGGCACATAGTCCGGTGTCTGACTCTAATACCATGTGTAACGGCCCAAGTCCACCGCTAGCAGATATTGTTCTATTTGGACTTTATTTTCAAGACTTTAAAACGTGTCTGCTAAGCAAATGTTTCCACACTCTTGTAAAGAGGTGTTTTGTTCTCTTCTCCAACAAATGTGGGATTTTCAGACCCCGAGTACACCTTCATTAACTTTAGAAGTAGTAGGGTTCCACCAACCTAACCATTTTGAAAGCAATAATTGCTTGTAACCCACTTAATATAGCCATCAAATAAGAAATCCCTCATCCCATTTCAAAAGAAAATATGTGGTGCCCACTTAAGATTATATTCCAAAAGTGTCTCAAATCCCCATGAACAAAATATAAATAAATATATATATATATATATATATATATATATATTTTTTTTTGTTAAATTATTATTTTTTATTTTTCATTTACTTTGTAGTGGATTTTATTTAAATAAATTTGATATTTCTAAAGGTGACCTAATTTAGGTTTTAATATGATTAGCCTTTATCTCGAGATTGGTTGATTAGTTATCGTGAAAATTTTGATTTGATAAGACAGTGTACATATAAAAATTAAAAACTTTAAATTTAATTTTTCAACTATTAAATTTTTTTAAAAAATTAATTTAATTAAAAAAAAATTATAGTTCCCTTACCCTCCTCAAATTTTCATGAATGACATAAATACCCTTACACTTTATATTCACTTCCACCATGGTCGTTGTACTAACCACTAGCAACCACACTAGCTAATGCTATTTATATCCGCCCACCTCCACCGACCATGGCCCATTGCGTAGCTCTAATGACCAACACCCATCGCCCACCTACACCTACGACAACTACACCTATCTCTCACTTCACGGGACCACTCAAGTAACCTCACCGTTTTTAGCTATAGTTAATTAGTTCATAATGTTTTAGTTATAATTTTAAACTTTGTTACATAATTTATAATAATGTTTAGACCAAATCAATTTGTGTAATAAAACCTTTGTTTTTAATTTTAAATAGTTTCTTATTAAAATTAAAAAAAAAAAAAAAAAAAAAAAAAAAAAAAAAAAAAAA